TCATCCCCGTCATTATTATTATTATCATCATCATCATCATCATCATCATCATCATCATCATCATCATCATCATCATCATTATCGTCACCACTATTATTTCCCCCCAGAGCTCTCCGTGGCTGGGGGTACGCCTTCAAAGAGCGCGGAGAGATGGAGGTCAAAGGCAAAGGGCGGATGTCCACCTACTTCCTCATGGGTCACCTCCACCGGCGCCTGGCTGACCCCAGTGACCCCTACAGCGACCTGGATGTGCGGCAGGACAGCTCGGAGGCCGCTCAGAATGATGACGTCACGCACACCACAGCAGACGTTTTGACGCAGCAGCACACGCAGACAATGACGTCAGGCTTCTCTACCACAGAGGCTCACGTGATTTCCCTCATTGCCCCAGAGTCTGGTGACGTCAAGAGTGGACAAGTTGCACCCCACGGCTCGATGACATCATTAGCAACGCCCCCTAGCGTCACAGACTCGGCAGACGGGTTTGTATCTCGGTCTGAGTCACCTACAATCGGAAGAATCGAACCCCAGTCTTCAAAGCCGGACGGCAGCCCGTGTAGATCGGAGACTGTCAAGACCTCCCCTGTCCGCCCCTCAAATATCTCCGCGGATCACGAGACCAGAAGACTGTCTCAAACCTGCAGCACTGCCAGCCACCCGTCACACGTGACGTCACAGACACTTCCGGGCGCTGGCACCTCCGTCATGATGACGTCAGAGGGGAGGTCTCACTCCCCGTGTGCTGGACACACCACCATCCCAGCTGAACATACTTCACACACAACACAACACACCTCACACACAACACAGCACACCACCCTCCCAGCTAAACCCACCCCCCTCCCAGCTGAACACACCACCCTTCAAACCGAACACACATCACACACAACAACATCATCAACATCTTCCGACGTTACAACAGACACGCCGCACAACTCCAAACCGACCTCCGCCACCGACCCCGCCCCCCACTTCTCACCTGACAGCCCGCTGGGTCACGTGGTTGGCCGGTCGTCCCCCAGAAATGACCAGTGTGTGTACGTCAACGGTTCCTTCAAGGGTGCCTACGGCCCCCAGGTCAGAGGTCAGTCACAGACTCACCAGGAATCGGCTGGCGCTAAGGGGGGATCGCTCACCAACCACGGTAACGATCCCAGCAAAAACAACACCTCCAACAACGACAATAGCACCAACAACGACAACAGCAACACGAACAATATCACCAACGACGACAACAACACCTCCACCGTCACCAACAACGACAGTAGAAGCAACAACGTCACCAACGCTGACACCGACAACAGCAGAGGCAGCATTACCAACAGCACCAACAACGACAACAACCACACCACCATTGCTACAACCAACAACACCACCACCAACAACAACAACCACCACCCCACCAGCGCCGTAAACAACCCACCAGAGCTGAAGTCCACCTCACCCCCCTCCCAGCCCCCCGAGGGCAGCCCTAACCTCAGCCGCAGTGAGACCTACCCGGGCGTACACACCACCACCGCCGAGAGAGATTCGAACCCGGGACCTGTGTCTGCCTCGCATGGCGATCTACACAGACTGCAGGCGAGGGGCAAGGAGAAGAAGAGGCGGAAACACAGGAGTAAGCTGTGTAGTGTCACCTAGACACACGTGGGGGACACACATTAGACACAACATGACTGTATGTGTAGTATGTAGCGTCGTGTGTTGGCGGAGCCTAGACTACTCATGTCTATGTGTAATGGGTTGACCAAACATGTACACACATTATGACAGAGTGTAATGCGCTGACCAAGCCTAGACACAAATGTCTTTGTATAATGTGTTACACGCACGGCTTACTAGAATAATCAGGCCTCCCCAGGGGGCCCGTAGTCTGAAAATGTGGAGGCGAGTTTAAAACGAGGTCACTGCAGCAGCCTACGCGAGACAATACGACAGCAGCGCAATCAGATAAAGGGAAATCAAATAGACTTTTGCCTTTTATACAACTACAAATAGTATCCTAATTGGATTTATGATAACTAGATTTCTAGATCAAGACTCTAGTTCTTGTCTCATTTTTTGTTATAAGTGCGGTAAAAGAGCTTCACTTCCCTTTGGCAATGGGCACATAAAATAATGAGAGAAAGAAGAATAAAGATAGCATTTTATAGCACATATCCATGGAAAACACAATCCATGCTCTACGTGCTAAAAAAATATGCTCATTCATTAAGCAAGCATGGAATCATTTATAGGCCTAACAGTAGAAACATTGCCAAGTATGGGTAATACACACCTACATGTGAGCATGTATACACACATAGAGACATAGTCTAGATAGACACACATAATATGCGTTCACAAACATTACAGTGTAAATATTATGAAAAAGGTTTAACTTAACATTGTTTATGAAGACAGCTTTAGGACTTTCTGTGTAGGTTCTTCCTCAGATGGTGGATTGGATATCTTGCAGAAATTGTTTAGCAAAATATTGCTCAAGACAAGGCAGTTGTGTTGTCTCATCTCAAAACCATAATACTGTGAGATGTCCTTAAATATTTCACTCAAAGAGTTTCTGCATAGCCTACCTTGTCACACACTGGCTCCTACAAATGAACACAATGAATCAAAAGAAACAATGTCTTTATGTGAATATTCTTCTGACTGGTCACTTTCAACTGATCTGACTGAAAAACTTTCTAGATTTAGCTCTACTTGCTGTTCTTGCTATGGGCACTGGTGTTGGAATTAAACTTTCGGGCAAATAAGAAAATAGCGATGGAGGGGGGGGGTTGTCTTAATCTTCCTTTGACAGAAATAGTTTCAAATTCATCTGGAAAATGTTTAATACAAGCAACAATATTTGCAGTATCGAGTATATTGTCGCGTGGGATTGCTTTCGTCCAACGTTCTCTCTCACCTTTATCTTTAGGTAGAGATCTAGATATAGAACTAGATATCTAGATCTAGATCTAGATCTAGATTCTAGACCTAGAATCTAGATCTAGATCTAGATGTATCAGACTACATCTAGATCTAGATCTAGATTGTGTAGATCTAGATCTAGCTATCTAGATCTAGATCTAAGTCTTGTCTAAAAAAGGTAACCTTGTCAGTAGAGTCATAATTTGACCTGCACCCAGTAACTCAACATTTTCTGCCCATTTTCAACAAAGTCTATACAATGCACATTATTCCATTAGAAAGCACTGAAATTGATAATCCAAATGAAATACTCTAGACCTATCCTCCTGTCCCACGTGTCACATCACAAGTCACAAGGCAGGGCGGCTGACATTTTGAAAACTTATTTACTTCCGCCGCTGTTCTTCTCACCTCCCCTGACCTGTCACATTTCAGAAATGTTTTCAAGTAAAAAAACAAACAATTGTAATTAAAATGAAGAACATTTTCAAAAATTGAGAAATGTAAAGTGCACTTTGAAAGCTAATTGGTATTAAAGGAAGGATATTTCTTTATTTCTGCTAGGGAATTTGTTAAATGCTATTTATAGGAATGAGATGACAATCGGCTGTTGAATGTGACTCCCACCTTCTGACCTAGTTATGCGTCGCCTCCACATTTTCAGACTACGGTCGCGCTGAGGAGGCATGATTATTCTAGAAAGCCGCGGTTACACGGCATGCTGATCATATCAAAACTGGACACGAGCCAGTGAGTAACATGGTGTGTTGATCAAACTGTGTTGTGTCACATAGACACGCGAGTCCGTGTGTAATGTCAAAGTGGCACTCGCGTCAGTGTGTAGTGTGACATAGACACGTAGGAGACACACAAGTCAGTGTGTAGTGTATAACCCTGTATCTGCCTCTCACTGAGATCTGCACAGACTGCATGCGCTGGGAAGAAGAAGAGGAGGCGAAAACACAAGAGTGAGCAGTGTAGTTATCACTTTGACACACGTGGCAGTGTGTGGTGTGTGACATGGTGTGTCACGTGTTGTGTTGACCAAACATAGACTCAAGTGTACTCTGTGTAAAGTCACATAAATATACGTGTGTCACGCAAGTTAGTGTGTAGATCTAGTGTGTAACGTGGCGTGTTGATCGAACAGTATTGTGGTACATAGGCCCCCACGTCAGTGCGTAGTGCTGTATTGACACATATGAGACACGCGACACAGTGTGAAGTGTGTACTGTGGCGTGTCGACGAAACTGTGGAATGTCACACAGAGAAACCTGAGACACAGCAGCTGGCTGCAGTCAATGTATACAAAACATAAGTGAGACACACGAAATAGTGTGTAGTGTGTATTGCCGCGATTGATATAACTGTGTTGTGTTATAATACGTCGGTGTGCAGTGTGTAGGGTGGTGTAGGGATCAAAGTGCGACACACGTGAGGCCCACAAGTCAGTGTGTAAACTCACATAGACACACGCGTCAGACATATGAGACAGTGTGTAGTGTGTAACATGGCAAGTTGACCAAACTGTTGTCACCACATAAGTCACGCAGCCTGGATCCCTTCCCCGCCACTGTGTTGATCCAACCCGTAGACTGTCTCGTTCACATCATCTCCGCTACTGCCAATGACTCACTCCGGTTAGGTACAGTCCTTACTAGCATTCACTTGTTATTCCTCTACTTAAGAAACAAAACGTGCCAGAGGATGACTTCAACAATTTTTGGCCCGTTTCAAACTTACCTTTTTTCTGTAAAGAATTCTCGACTCTAGAATAGATTGTGTTGGTTCAAGTTAAAGCTCAGCTCAGTCACAACAACTAGTTGGACATTTTTCAATCGGATTATAAGGAGTTCCATTATACTGAAACTGCTCTTCTGGGAATCCAGAATGGGTTGTTTTTTTTCACTGAATCCGACAGTGGGATAATATATAATTATCCTTGCACTTTTAGATCTGTATGCTACGTTTGAGACAATTTATCATTCGACCCTTCTGGAACGTTCATGTAAAACGTGTGGCTTTTCTGGGACTGTGCGTGAGTGTTTTACGTCATATTTAAGTGATCGCAGTCAGTCAATTTGTGTCAGTGACACATAATTCTCCAAAATTCCATTGTTTGGTGGAGTGTCCCAAGGTTGTGTGCTGGCTCTATTACCATACGCTATGTACTCAATACATTGAGTAAATATTCTGAGAGCCCATGGCAGAATCTTTCATGTATATACTGATGATACACAGCTGTATTGGTCATGTCCAAAGTCGGATGTAACCAACTACTTATTGAACAGCATCAGCTGTTGTATTGGAATTGTTCAAAATGGATGACTGACAACAAACGAAAGATGATCGAGGAGTAGACAGAAGTATTTCTCAAAGGTATCGTATAAGCGCCCCCCCCCCACCTCCCGATTTTTGCGCACCCCTCCCTACCCCCCTTCCCAATTGCTCCTTAGTCCATACCCCCCCCCCCCCCCCCCCCCGATATTTTTTTCTCCCTTCCCCCCCCCAGCCACCATCTGGAAAATTTAACGAACCTTCCAATAAAATGAAACTTCTTTTTTTTTTTTGTAAATGGCAAATCAACCTCAGTATTTGTCCCGGGCCCCGGGGGGCGTCCCCCTCAATTTTCTGAGCATTTTTAAAAACTTTTGTACATTGGTGTGTATTTTTAAAAATAAAACAGGTTTGTTCCTAAATGGGAGGAGCGTTCTCACTGTAACTTACTAAAAGCACAAAAATGTCATGATCTCTCGTTCTTTTATTCACTGAAGGAGAAGTAAAACAGATATTTTGTTCCTATTAGTACAGGGGTATGGTGTTGGATGTGCCCCCCCCCCCCTTTTTTTTTCCCCCCCCCCCCCCCCCCCTCCGTTTATTAATTTTGGACCACTGGTACCCCCCCCCGGCTTTTATTCCCCCCCCCCCTCCCCGCCCCGCCCTTCGTTTATTCGATACCCCAGAGTACTGTGTAACACCAACAGGAAGTTTGACATCTGTAACATTGATACCATCAGAATAGGATCTTCAACTATTACCTTTAGTGAGAACGAAAAAAAAAGTATTTTCTTTGAACATAAATTGTGTTTCTTTCCTGTTTTGTGTACGATAGTGTATTATTGATTCCCTCTTCGATCTCGTATTGCATACGACAATATTGATTCAACCTTCATTCTTGTTTGCATACTACAATATTGATATCATCTTCATTCCTGTTTTGAATACGGCAGTATTGATTCCAATAAAATACAATATAAAGGGCGAAACACTACAATGTTTGAGATATATCCCTGTACGTCCAAGACTTTGATCACGAATCAACATTAATTGAGTACCAGATCAGAAACCAGCCATCATAGTTCGCCACTCATTTCTCTACTCGGAACAACAACAACAACAACAATAATAACAACAACAAAAACAGCAACAACATCAATAACAACAACAACAATAATAATTACAACAATAACAACATAACAATAACAGCAGCAAAAACAACAACAACAACAATAACAACAACAACAACAACAACAACAGCAACAACAACAACCATAAGGATAAACGCAAATCCCCTTAAACACAATGGGTGGCAAAATAAGGCAAGGGCTTATTCATCATTCAGTTTAATCTTATTCACAACATGTATCCAAAATCAGTATTCTTTACCGTAACAAAAGGTCAACACAATTAAGGCTATCTTGACTAACATACTCTCAAGCACCAACATACACGATTACATTTTTACTAATACTGTAGCAGCCTAATGGATAAAGACTGAATGTATTCTAATAAAGCCATGCAAAGTCAGGAAGACATCAGCGACAAACACAACCACAGTGGAGTCCGCTTAAAGTGAACTCGTTGGGACCAGAAGAAAGTGTCCGTTCACTTTATCCGAGGTTCAGCTTAACCATTTCGGTAGAGTGGAGGCCTAGAAACAGTAGCTACGCGCAGTTCTGGGTCTAGAGTGGAAGTGGGGTGGGGGGACAACACATCGGGCGAGCCTAGACTAGAGCTCTTTTTTTCTGATTGAGATTGCCGTCGCCAACGCCCAGCTGGGATTGTCTGCCGATGCCTGAGGCAAAGAAGTTTATTTTCACAGCATGGCGACTGTTACACGGTCGGTCCGTTCTTCGCTTTCACTAATTCTAGGCCTTCACTTTATCCGATTTCCCCATTTTATAGACCAGCGTTTCAATTGGGACCACAGAATATCGTTCAGTTTAACGGATTGTTCAAATAAAGCGTGTTCACTTTTGGCGGACCCCATTGCATTTTCCTTTTACAAAGAAACCCTGAAAATGTCTCTGAGAGACTTCAACATAAATACTTCGACATGGAAGAGCCTAGCTCCCCACAGACTCGGTTGGATAACAACTATCATAGAGGGCAGCAAGTCATATATTAGGTTCCTCGAATTAACTCTTTATCTTCGTCGAGCCGCTTCCAGCAACTCGTGGTTTGGAACTTCTGGGTGGTGAGCTGCTGGCAGCGTCTCGGGCACATTCCTTTACGATGACTTCGACATCAAATAAGATCTAGATCTACTTTTCGCCAATTGCCGAAAACAGGTCTCTTTTATCTGGATTTCATTCTTTAGATGAAGAACTATCAAAATAGGTTGAATTGTTTTGGTTTAATGACCAATATAGTGACGCTTTCGTCCTTTTTAGATTTAGTTTTTTTTTTTAATGGCCCCGGCATAGTGGGTTCACCCCCCTCGGAGATAAAGAATTAAAGATGCTGAAACCGAGAAATTAGCCCGCAGACTATAAAAGTTCACTAGTGGAAATGAAGCTTTTAAAAGTTCAAAATGTGGCAAACTAACTCTCCTCTCTCTGACCTTCATTACTGGTCTCAATGGCCACAGCAGAAGCCACAAGTCATCGTAACCTTTTTGTCTTCTGTTTCACTTTTTTTTAACACTACTCTCTGCTGATCTATGCTTTGGTCATCTTCAGACATTGACAGGCGTGGTCGGGTAAAAAAAGGTGAATTTTCTATTTTCTAAAAGGTGGTGCTGTGAACTCTAATTAGCGTGGTCGGGTAAAAAGGTGAATGTCTTCTATTTTCTAAAAGGTGGTGCTGTGAACTCTAATTAGCGTGGTCGGGTAAAAAGGTGAATGTTCTATTTTCTAAAAGGTGGTGCTGTGAACTCTAATTAGCGTGGTCGGGTAAAAAGGTGAATGTTCTATTTTCTAAAAGGTGGTGCTGTGAACTCTAATTGAAGCACAAAAACATTTTAGAGCATGGACTATTTTCTTTTTGTTAAAGACTTCTTAGTATTACTGATGTAAAAGGAAAAGTCTTAGACTAGATTTTGTACACAATCAAAAAGTGGTATCTTTTATATCGTCATTATATTATCATTCTTTACAACATCAAACAGGAAACAAACAAAAAAACATCTCCATTCTTTCAAGCCTGGAAATAATGTCACCAAATAAATCAGTTAATGTAAGTGTCTTAGTTTTAAATATCCACCAGGATGGGGATGAAAACAAATGGTACAAAAAGTCATGGAGTAAGAAGCGAAAGAAAAAAATGCATTTTGGGAGGATGAATAACACACAGCAGTCAATCCCACCCACATCCAGTATTTTAAAAAAAAACTCTTTGTTTAATTTGTTTGTTTATTTGTTTGTTTGTTTGTTTGTTAATTATTTCTTTGTCTAATTATTTGTTTAATTGTTTGTTTGTTTGTTTGAGTAGAGAGAATTACGTTGACACAATGCAAGGAACAAGAAAGGCAGACAGTAACAACAGAAAGACAGACTAGAAAGACGTACCAGTGGCGCCTTCTTGTCAACCACAAAACCAAAACTTACAAATCCTCTCAAATGACATGATGGTGCCCTCCATAAACTCTCAATTTTACAAAGAAGGAAAGAAAGAAAGAAAGAGAAAGAAAGAAAGAAAGAAAGAAAGAAAGAAAGAAAGAAAGAAAGAAAGAAAGAAAGAAAGAAAGAGAAAGAAAGAAAGAAAGAAAGAAAGAAAGAAAGGGAAAGAAAGAAAGAGAAAGAAAGAAAGAGAAAGAAAGAAAGAGAAAGAAAGAAAGAAAGAAAGAAACAACAAACAAACATGAGTATGATGAGTAACGACAAGGGTTTCATGATGCCAATGAGAGCTATAAAAGCAGAGATTTGATGATGATGATGATGATGATGATGATGATGATGATGATGATGATGATGATGATGATGATGATGAGAACTATAAATGATGATGATAAAAACTACAAAAGCAGGAGTTTGATGACGTCAATGAGAACTACCGGAGCAGGGGTTTGATGAGAACTACAGCAGCAGGGGTTTGATGAGGGCGACCCACTGTGCCACCGTCCAGTTGTCCTGGGCCTGGACAAACACGTCATTGACCGTGAAGAGCGGGGTGCCGTACACACCTCGGGTACATCCGTACTTCCACGCCAGGCGAGTCGCGGAGTCGATGGCCTCGTCAGACACCTGCCAGACACACGAGGAACATTAAGATTTAGGCCTACGTACTTTTTCGTCCTCTCAATACTCTCAGTCTCAGACATTGGGGCGGGGAGAAGCAAACATGTTACTCTTAAGTCTTGTTTATTGTATCGCCTGCTGAGGTGAAATCAGGCGCTCGTCAATTTTAGGACACGTGAGTTTACTGGTAGCGTCTTAGAGCCAGTTCATTTGCCTTGCTTTTAGTGAAAAAATACCCATCTATGTCCAATAAGAGTCGAAATATTTGCGATTGAAGGAGGTAAGGGTTGCCTGGTTTCGGAGGTAAAATTGGCGAGAAAATGGCTGCTAAAATCTGGTAACTTCTATAGCTTGAGAGTCATTGAAAACTGAGAATGAACATATTTTAAGTGATTAATCAACGACTTTTTAAATAAAAATTCACATAGAAACTTGTTTTCATATGTACATAAGAGGTGGTTAGACAAAAACGAAAAATTCGATAAATATTGTCAAACTGGGGGGGGGGGGGGGGAATGCCTGTTTCTTTGATTTCATTATTTTGACGAGCACCTGATTTCACCACGATGCCTCACATTTGGTCGCTTTAAAGCACAAGGGGACTATACCGAAAAACGCCTTATTGAGAAACTCGAAGATAAAGATTTTGCCCCTTTTTCAGTTTCTGCAAAAGACAAGGAGAGTTTTATCTTTTACCAAACAAATATATACACACCAATGAAACCAAACTTCTCTTGAAGGCAGGGCAATGCTCACTTTTGGAGCAGGTCAAGATTTCAGGAAACCCCCAAAATCTGGGTTAGCCCGCTTGTCCTTAAAAGTGACCATTTAAAAGGATTTGATTCTTTCTTTCATCCCAAAGAGTGAGTGTGCCAAAAATTGCTCAGATAAGTGGTGAGTCGTAACATGACAACAGAGAGAATGTGAAGCTGTATCATTCCTCTCCGAATCATCACGACTGACACAGGCCTAGAGTGGTTTACTACTCAAAGTAGGCAGTGAAATGACTTCATCAAATTGCTGGATTGTACTCATTTTGCTTGTTAAGTTGTCAATCTAATTGCATCGATATCGCCAAAAAGTGCGGGGCTCTAATAGTAATAGTGCGCGACTTTGATAGTTTTTCTTCGAAAGTGCGCGACTCTGATGATCTCCCAGGAACATTTAGGCCTACTTGCTTGTTCGGCCTCCCATACACTGCGGTGGGGAGAACCAAGCATTATTTTACTCTTGTTTGTTGAATCGCCTGTTGTTGCGTGGTTATGTTGTTTTTGGTTCGTGTTTCTCTGCCCCCCCCCCCCCCTTTATCCATCTTTTCCAGGGCCTTTCTCTTCCTCTACTTCCACACGAGAATATATAAATTATGATAAATAAATTTCACTTATGCGCACATCCCCTTCAGCAGAAAGCTCTATGCGCTTTAATTTAGTTTTCGTAAGAGTTTTACTGCACCTGCAAGCAGATAGGTCTTTATATTATATTAAGTCACCGCCTCAGAACTATTTTGTCCAAAGTGTATTTAACTACAAAATGTTCTTTGTTCCAAAATGTTCTGAGGCGACTAAGTGTCAAAGATTAAATGTGTTTTAAAGGAGTAACAAACAGAGAAAGGAAGGAGGAGAGATAAGGACGAAAGATGTTTGACAGGAAAGACGGGGCAAAGCACACCAGAGCACCCGGTAATCACCCACTCGTTGTGTTTTACAATTGGTCGCATTAAAGGACAAGTGGGCCAACCCAGATGTCGGGGGTTTCGAGAAATCTTGACCTACACCAAAAGTGGGCATTGCCCTTCCTATAGGATAAGTTTGGGTTCGTTGGTGTGTGTGTGTGTGTGTGT